AAAGAATAAGCAAGATTTCCTTGTGCATCAGTTGAAGGAAGTGCTCCAGGACAGCACAGGTATGAGGCATAGAGAGCCATAGTCCACAGCACAAGAGGCTGGGAATTCTTGGAGGCAGGAATAGACATAGGGGAGCAACACGAAGTAATTCTGGAGAATGTGTGGAAACCAGAGAGTGAAGGGTCATGCATACCACGTTAAAAAATCTATGCAGCCAACAGACACATGAAAAAATGCTCATCATCTCTGGCCATCAGAGAAATGCAAATCAAAACCACAATGAGATACTATCTCACACCAGTTAGAACGGCGATCATTAAAAAGTCAGGAAACAACAACAGGTACTGGAGAGGATGTGGAGAAATAGGAATACTTTTACACTATTGATGGGACTGTAAACTAGTTCAACCATTGTGGAAGACAGTGTGGTGATTCCTCAAGGATCTAGAACTAGAAATATCATTTGACCCAGCCATCCCATTACTGGTGTATACCCAAAGGATTATAAATGAGGCTGCTATAAAGACACATGCACACGTTTGTTTATTGCAGCACTATTCACAATAGCAAAGACTTGGAAACAACCCAAATGTCCATCAGTGACAGACTGGATTAAGAAAATGTGGCATATATACACCGTGGAACACTATGCAGCCATAAAAAAGGATGAGTTCATGTCCTTTGTAGGGACATGGATGCAGCTGGAAACCATCATTCTCAGCAAACTATCGCAAGAACAGAAAACCAAACATCGCATGTTCTCACTCATAGGTGGGAACTGAACAATGAGAACACTTGGACACAGGAAGGGGAACATCACACACCGGGGCCTGTTTTGGGGTGGGGGGAGCGGGGAGGGAAAGCATTAGGAGATATACCTAATGTAGATGACAAGTTAATGGATGCAGCACACCAACATGGCACATGTATACATATGTAACAAACCTGCACGTTGTGCACATGTACCCTAGAACATAAAGTATATTAAAAAAAAAATCTAAACATTATCCTGTAGTTAAAGGTATTCCATTGAAAGGTTTAAAAACATGTAACATGGCCATATTTATGTTTTCAAAAGAACAACTTGATGCTGATGGGTTTAAGTGCCAGAAATGTCATCGTCTCAAGGCAAGGAGACCAATCCACAGGTTACTGTAATAGTCCAGGCAAGAAGGGAGTTGGTGAGGCAACCACATAGCAGAATGCACTTAATAGGATCAAGTCATTTCATGGAGAGACTCCAGTCTTTGAAGAATGGTGTGCGACCCCATCTATAGGTCTAAAAGAAAGAGTAATATGACTTTTGATGTGTATTTCAAGAATATCCTATTTATTTCTAGTATGTTCTAAGTATTTCTATAATTAACTATTTCTGTAGCATCATAGTTCTGAAATTAGATTATAATATTTGACATCCTTATTGTTCAGCTCTAATGTTGTATTTAAGTATAGGACTCAGGTTTTTGCATTAACCACAGATAAAGATAGATCCCTGGCACAAATGAAAGTCACAACTTCTAAGATTCTATAATGGAAGAGGAATTCTAGAGAGGCAGCTGCTTTGGCATTCATATGTATTAGTAGTAGAAGCAAAGTAGTACAATGAAAAGGGAAGGACTTTAAGAGCCTTTCTTGCATGGAACAGACCGGGGAGGAGTTACAAATAGTACATTGGAACTTGTACATGAGTATAAACTTACTAGTAGGTTCTTTGAATTTGTTAAGTCAAATTGGCTCTTAATTGACAGCACTGCCATGTTAAATGGAGACATTTTCAGGTGAAGGCTTGATGGTAGTGGAGTATATATACCCTGCTGGGGCTCAGGTAGACTTATCTGGTCTCTCCAACAGAACACCTTCGGGATTAACTGTTCTCCTTAACCCTCTGAAGCATGTAAACAGTGCCCTAAGTGCACTGAGGTCAGACCACCTCTGCTGAACAAAAAACACTTCTTAAAACTAATCAGCTAAGTAATCCATCAATTTTCCTTAATTTTCTCAAACCTGGGCCCTATCTCTTCTTTTTCTATGTGCTCTGCCACTAATCTTGGGTAACATTGCTTAAATAAGCAAGCTTTCTTCCGTGTTTAACTGTCTCAGCATAATAGTCCTTTTTTAAAAAATTAAGTAGTAGTTTAATTTTGACTTGGACAATGTAACATCTTAGGCTATCTATTTAACCTGTGTATCTCAGTCTATTTACCCTGTATAATGGGTGATATTTTTGTTGACTTCACAGTTAGGTATGAAATATTTGTTATATATGTATTTTAAAACTTTCACAGAAGTCAAATTATTTACACCTAAATATTAAGAAGGACTCAATATTTGAAACCGCATTTAGCTTAGTATATGTAGCTACTTTGCAGCTATAATCAACTTAATATAGGAAGGCAGAACTTGGTCACTGTATGTATTCATCCATTCCCACATTGCTATAAAGAAATATCTGAGATTGGGTAATTTATAAAGAAAAGAGGTTTATTTGGCTCACAGTTCTGCAGCTCTACAGGAAGCATGATAGCATCTGCTTCTGGGGAGGCCTCAGGGGGCTTTTACTAGTGGCGGAAGGCATGGTGGGAGCAGGCTTCTTCCATGGCAGGAGCAGGACCAAGACAGCCTGGCGGGAGGTGCCACACACTTTTCAACAACCAGATCTCACGAGAACTCACCATCGAGAGGACAGCATCAAGGGGGATGGTGTTAAACCATGAGAAATGCTCCCCATGATCGAATCACCTCCTACCAGGCCCTACTTCCAACACTGGGGATTACAATTGACCATGAGATTGAGGTGGGGACACAGATCCAAACCATATCACTGTATATAAATATGCATTTTAAACAACTAGGATAATAGTTTTTAGGACATATAGTGTTGTCTATTTATATTTTAAAAAGCATGTTTAATAACCAAAGCTTATTTTATGTCTGAGACTAGCCAGCAGTGACACTTGAAGTATGCAGGAAAAGAGTCTTCCTCATTTTTGAGCTTTGGGGCCTAAAGTTTCACCCTAAAATTTGCATCTGCTTAAGCTGCCCTCTTTGCACATCTTCCTTGGAGGAGTAGCTGCTAAGTACAGAGGATTCTGGCACCAGAACATGCTCCTTTACAAAGAGTGCAAGCACTGGATTCCCTTGGGCTAAGGGAGGAGGATTGGAGCTCTAGAGGAGGAAAAAGTGAGGCAGAAGGGAAGCTTGCAAGGAAATCATGAAAAATCTACATTTGTAGAGACACCCTAATTAAATCTTTCCTTCAGTCTTATCTGTGAGAAAAAATATGTTATTTCCACCAGGGCCTCTCTCACATTTAGAAGACAAACTAACACAGCTCCCTTAGCTAAATATTTATCTGACAGAAACTGAGAGTTCGAAAGACTAGTTCAAAAGAAACTATCACAGTGGAAGAGAGTGAGCTTGGAATTTGATCGTAAGTCCCTGATCACCCCACAATCCAGCAGGTGGGGCCCAGGAAGATTAGATCAGTTGAGAAAAATAAATAGGTAGAATTTGTAGAATTTATAGAAAAATAAATATGTAAAAAATATGTAGAGTTTTATTGCACAGCTGAGTTATGTGAATAAATTTATAATTCTGTTATACCTGTATTAAGCCTCTCCCCCCAGCCTGGGCAACACAGGGAGACCCCGTCTCTACCAAAACAAAACAAAAAAAAACAAAAAAAAACAATAAAAGAAAGGAAAAAAGAAATTAGCCAAATGTGGTGGTGCACATCTCTAGTCCCAGCTACTTGGGGGCTGAGGTGGGGGGATCCCTAGAGCTGGGGAGGTAGAGGCTGTAGTGAGTTGTGATTGCACTACTGCATTGTAGCACAGGTGACAAAGCAAGACCTTTTCTCAAAAAGTAATAAAAAAAAAATGATAAAATAAATCCCCTCCCCTAAACCCCTACCTCTTGCTAATGAATCCAAGCCAGGCACTCAGCATTGGGATACATCTGCTAACACAGGCCTGGGCCCTCATGCCACCTGGGTGAATTATGGGGCATCTGTCTGCTTAGCCAGTTCAGAAAATAAACTACACTATCATTTTTCCTGTCTTCCAGCTTCTGTGTAATCTGATTTCCCTTCCACACTTGCTCACCCACATCACTGAAGACCTGCCCTGAACTGCGCCACTTAACCCCTGCCTGCTTCCTAAGGGTGCCATCTCCCTAAGGACTGGCCTTGCTCGTCATGTTCACAGGTGATGTCTAAGGGATTTGGTTTCACCAGGTATCCAAGAGGCTGCTCTATTTAACAAAATATTGCTGCCTTCTGGGAAACCTCCACCACACCTGTGGCAGCCCAGAGAAGACAAACAGTAGCTCTGCTTCTTGAATGCTCTAAATAGGCTTATTGACTTCCTGGGGCCAAAATGAGCTTGACTTTAAACATCAGGTACAGTTTATTTTGTACTATGTCAAATCTGGGGTGCATAATCTCATTTAAACTTCATGAAACTCTACGACCTAAATACTTACATGTCCCCATTATAAAGATGAGAAAATTGAGCTTTAGAGGGTGTTATGGGCTGTCTGTTTGTGTCACCCACCCTAAAATTCATCTGTAGAAGCCTTAAACGCCAATGTGATGGTATTTGAAGGTGGGGGCCTTCGGAAGGTAATTAGGCTTAGATGACATCATAGGGATGGAGTCACCATAATGAGATTAGTGTTCTTACAAGAAGAGAAAGGCTAGAGCTCACTTTCTCTCCCATGTGAGGACATAAGAAGACTGCCATCTTCAAACCAGCAAGATAGTCCTCACCAAAACCAGGCCATACCGACACCCTGATCTCAGACTTCCCAGCCTTCAAAGAAATAAATGTTTGTTGTTGAAGCCACCCAGTCTGTGGTATTCTGTTACAGCAACCCTAGAAGACTAAGACAGAGAGGCTAAGTAATTTGCTCATGGTTATTCTACTGCTAAGTGATAGTGAACCTAAAAGTTAAAGCGGTTGTCTTGACACCAAACCTGAATCTATAACCATGATTCTTACCTGCCTTTCCTGTGGCCCAGTGGTTTCCAGTGACATTGGGCTGTCAGTCTGAGAAGTATCCTATAATACTGGCTTGACATTGGCCCCAACTGATCCTTGGACACTGCAGGCACGGCAAATATTTTCCTGGAAGGAAGAGAATAAACCAATAATGACTCTTGCTTGCTTCGTGGAGCTCCGCAATAACTATGGCAGTCCTGTGTTTTACTTGCTCAGATGGGCAGAAATGGACAGATTTGCCCCATAGGGGTAAATATTCCCTAGGTGGAAATTATTACGATGACTACTTTGCAACCCTTGAGAAAATTTGCACCAGAAACTTGGCATTCAATCAAATATTCATTTGCTTCCTGTCTGACTCCCTCACTAGCATGAGATCTCCATGAGCACAGAGATTTTGTTTTGTTCACCACTGTGTCCCAGGCACGGAGAGCAGTGCTTTCCACCGAGTGACTGGCTACTTGATCCATGCTCTTGAAAAGTGAATCCCTGTCTTCCCTAAGAGACAGGAAACGTGATTCAAATCCCTTGAGTTAAAATGTTAGAAAGAGACCTTCAGCCACTTAAAGTTACAACACACAGGATAGTCCGGGCGATTGGCACCAGGGTGAGTCTGAGCTGAATGTGGGTTAGAGTCCAGGACCATCCAGACCTAGAGCCAAGACAAGGGACAGGGGAGAGGCAGCCATAGCATAAAGCAGAACCGGGGTGGAGAGTCAGAGCCAGGCTGCAGGGTGAGGGGAGGAGCAGAACTGAGGTCTCAGAAAACCCCGATAGTACCACATTCTGAGTCACTGCAGGGAAGGAAAAGTTCAAGAATTCCCTCTAGATTTCACCTCATTCCCTGGAAAAGAGGTTATCAGAGAATTCAGTAATCAAATATGATAATATGTATTGGATATGTAGTGTGTGCACGGCTCCGATCTGAGCACTTACATGGATTGGTTCGTTTAATCCTCACACCAACTGATGTAGCCAGAGGCTGAGCCATCAAAGTTACCCAGGAAGCCACAGAGTCTGGATTTGAGCCCCATCAGACTGGCTCCAGGCCTGCAGCTCTTCATGAATGTGGAGGTCTCAGGGTAATGGCATCTATCCAGAGTCCTACTACAGAGTGCCTACATCAGACAAAATATTCTTGGTAATTTAGACCAATGATGTCATAATATCAACTGATGGTTGAAAAAATAAGGGGTTTGTATGCACAATGAAATAAAGTTTTCCTAAAGTTCTGAAAGTCTCAGAGTCACGACGGCTCTGGTAGGGTTTCTTCCCTTTTTGGAATATCACGCACAATGGAAATTGCGTAGGGAGCTTGGGACACCTGTCTCTGTCAGGAGCTTGACCTTGCTGAGCACATAAGAACCCACCCATCATGTGGCAGGCACCACAGGAGGCACAGGGAATGCCCAGGTGACTAAGACACGCCCCTGCCCTCAAGGCGCTCTTGGGGCAGCCCTGCATTTGCTCCCCTCATACAAATGACCAGGGCAGTGGAAAAATGGAAAATATGCACTTGCACAAAGATATCACCTTATTGCTGCGGGGTTCCTTGAACACTAAACTTTTCTAGTTTTAAAAGTTAAATCAGAAACAAGAGTCTTTGCTGGGGTGGCTTATGCCTGTAATCCCAACACTTTGGGAGTCCAAGGTGGGAAGATCACTTAAGCCCAGGAGTTTGAGACCAGCCTGGGCAACAGAGTGAGACTTTGACTCTACAAAAAAAATTAAAAATTAGTCTTGCATGGTGGTGCATACCTGTAGCCTCAGCTACTTTGGAGGGTGAGGTGGGAGGATTGCTTGAGTCCAGGAGGTCGAGGCTGCACTGAGCTGTGATTGCATCACTGCACTCCAGCCTGGGCAACAGAGCAAGACCCTGTCTCAAAAACAACCAAAAAATCTTTACTGAAATCTACCTGAAGGGATTTCTTCTACCTTAAATATATGAGACCACACACAAACACACACACACACACACCCCGACATGCACAAAAGCCACCTTGCCTAATATGCATTTTAGCCTGAGAAAATGATCATAACTGAGTAGACTTAGAAATAAGATTTCCTAGTAACAACTACAAATAAAACTTCTCTTTTCATAGAAAACACAAAATTAAACCTTAAAGCCCAGTAATATATAATTAAAATGAAAACCTTTTAGAACTACTGTTTTTCCTAGGAGGCACTGCTCGGAATCCCCTGCCAGCTGGCTGGGTGTGTGTGTGAAAGATCGTAATATTTCAGGAGTTTCCTTTGCACGAGACATTTTTCTCAGCATTGCTTGTGGCTCATGGCCACGCTGCCCGGGCACCTGCAGGATCAGTCAGTTTGCACAAGCAGCTTCCCAAGTGAATGACGTACCTCCCCTTTCTGTTGTTCCCAAAGACCAACATCTGTCAGAGATCAGCATATGCATCCACGTATTAAAGCGCTCACTGTTCTAAGACCCTGCACTTAATTTTCCCTTGGGTAAACAGAGCCAATAATGGATAAATACTGAAGGATCAAATATCCTTAAACTATCGGAGAAAGCTGTGAGTGCAGACTTTAATCCACATCTGAAGTGAGAAAAAAGAGAAAGCAAAACGCTGTGACAGAGGCTCTCCAAATCATGAGGGAGGAACACAGGATGGAGTTCATGCCACTGGCTGTGTAATAGCTTGGGAAGCATCTCTATGAATGGCCATGGGAAGGGCAGTTAGGACTTTACAAGTAAGTGCATTTAAATGTTGAATACATTGCGATCCAAACAAATGATCTTTGCACTTTTCAGAAATGAATAGCAGAAGGCCTTGCCTCCTCCTAAGCACAGTCAACCTGACATTCTCTGTAACCATACACTGAAAGATTTTTACAAACGTCCTACTAATTGCATTTTGAGGCAAGTTCCACTAGGAAGACGAACTTTGGACAGGCTGACAGTGTTGGCCTTTGCGGACATGGTTGGTCTTCTAATGGCTGAGCCAGCCCCTAGGGGAAACACACAGCTTAAGTTTATCTTTTAAGTATAAACTTCTGAGGATGAACCTTCCAGCCTCTCTGGAATTCTTGTCTAATACAGGAACATGATGTATTTTATACATTTCTATACACTCTTTCTTTTAAAAGAATCATCTCAACCTTTAAGATAATTTTGCCTGAAAAGATTATCCTATCCAAACTTTATCTCTTCACCATATGCAGTCACACAATTATTTTCTGATTTGCTTTAAGAAATAGAAACATTCAGCCTTTCGGATTAGAAATTTCTTTCTTGTAACGTAAAATAGAGATGCTTTCTTATTACTTAAAAAGAGTACATAAATCAATCTCGCCAAGGACTGGTATTCATCATAACCTTGTGTCTGTCTAACCTAAACCATCCAGGTCTACTTTTGAATTATCCTTATTTGGAAACTTCAAAACCAGGTTAAATATACAGCTGATGGCTTTGGTAATAAATTGCTACCAGTAAAGCAGAAGGAGAAGCTCCAAGTGAGATGTTCCTGGGAAAAGCAGGCTGGCATCATCCACAGAAGAGCCACAAACGTGTCTACACTGAATTGTTGTCCACCTCCAAAATTGCTGCCATATCCAGGCAGCTGCCGTTAGCCCTTTCCTGTAGGAGGTGGGGTGTCTGCTTCCATTCAGCCTTGACTGTAAAACACCCAGATAACCTGCAGAATGGACAAAGCAAAATATCACCTACACATGAGTAAGAGAAGCAGGACAGCCCATCCAACTCGAAGGCAATGAAAAGATTTGGTGTAATCCAAAGAAAAATTTGGTCTAATGCAGGAACTTGGGTTCCCTGTTACCTCTTTTGTAAGAGTGAGCTGTTAGTAAAATGCTGAAAGCAAACAAAAAATGTAGACAGCAGCTCCAAAGAACTATATCACATCTATTTTTCAATGGATTAAAGAATGGTTAAGCCTTGAGAAGTCAACGAATAAATCACAACACATAGAACCTATAAATAATATATGAGTTGAATACATAACCAACTGTGTTAAAGCTCCGTTAGTAAAAAGACGAATAACCAAGAAGGCAGACAGCAAAAAAATAAATAAAATTGTTGTCACTAGTGAGAGCTCTTCATTCTTATTGCTTATGTTTTTGCAATAAGCAAATTTATGTAGTGAAGACAAACTAACAGACAAGCATGTGAGTTTGAGGCAATGGTTGTATGACTTCATCATTTTGAAGACCATTTGACAACATTTCTCCTTTTGTAATTGCATGACTTCAAGTATTTGTTCATTTCTTTTCTGGAAAATTTATTTCTGTGTTTCCACATTCCTCAGAACAAGAGACCTTCAAGACTAGTCTTGCATGTGCACATATCACATGTGATATTTTCTCATATGATAGGCACAATTAATCTGCAAGCTGAGTATTATCATTATTTTAAAATAAGCAAAGTAAAGGCTTTTTGAGGCTAGAAAAAAGTGCTTGTAGACAGTGTATAAAGTGTTAGACTTCTAACCCAGATGTATCTGAACCCCAAGTCTAGTGTAATACAATCTGCTGTCCCCTTCTTAAAAAAGCAGATAGAAAAGCAGATTACTGCCTTTTTAACACCAACAGCTTCTTTTTAATTTTTTATTTCTTTTTCATCAGTCCCAAGTTTTGTAGAATTTTGACCGGCAAACAAATGATTAAAATTAAGTCACAACACATTATCTATTTGTATTCACAGAAAACATTTATTAAAATAAGAGCATATGACCAACATGAGATAATACTGAGCCAATATCATTCCATTAAAAGGGTTTTCAGAAATATATTCTTAGTAGTCTATTCGAGGACCAGAATAATAGTGTTTAAATGTTTAATCTGTATGATTAGGCCTTTTGGAATATTAACAAGAGCCATCCGGTGGGCCTTTTGAACTCCAGGGATCAGTGGTCTCTAACCTGCCATCAGAAGACACTAGATTCTGTGTTTTTAAATAACAGAAGCAGGTGATGTGATTGTGCTTTTCGTGAGAAAGCATTACCTTGAGGCAGAAATCCTTTCATATACCAAGCTAAATCCCTCCTGCTCCAGTGTAAACCCATTTCCTCTTCTGGCCTCTGGAGAAAAGGGAACAGCTGCTGGGTGTCTTTTAACTCTTCCTCTGGGGCCCAGGGGGCTGGGCCACTTTA